TGTGTCTTGCTTAAGTGTTTTCTCATTTTTATTTTTGCTGTCGGACTGTCCTTGGTTTAATCTCTGGGTTATCACCCAAATTTTTCTGATATAGTTGCACCCTAGCTTCTGTGTCTCTAACGACCCACAGACATTCTCATCTTCATAACATCAGAGAAAACACCTCATCAAATCAACCGCAATGCTTTACCCCAACTGATACAATCAGCAACACATTAAGATCAAGCACAACTTGGACACTGACCACCTGTGGTAGTCACTAGTCTATCACCCTTAAATCATTTGAATTAAATTGAAATCAAGAAGCAGTCCAGAACATGTCTGCAGTGAACAAAATTTCAATATAGTGTATTTACCATTTAATGGCTCAGACAGAGCAAGGATGCAAGTCCCCTGGTCTCAGTTAGCTGATGGCTCAACCCCATGATGCTGACTGACCTCGGGCTGCAAGGCCCAGATTGAGTTCCCCAACCTTCTGAATGGTTGAACTCCACAACGTTCTATTACAGGTTTCCCACACCCTTTCTTTAAAGATATTCAAAGTTGGGAACTCAGAAAAATACCCTTGATGACCACCTCTGCCTCTGCAGAGTGGGTCCAAAGACTGGCACAGTCAGGAGGTCTGAGAGTGCAGGGGGGGCGACTTATGGAGGTTCAGGGGCACCTGTGTGGCTACCTCCTGGCACTTGAGAGATGGCGGCTGGGTCGGGAGCAGGCGTGTCTCTCCTTCCCTCAGTGGATCGGGACCCAGGCTACCTCCTAGCGCTTGAGCGATGGAGGCTGGGTCAGGAGCAGGCGTGGCTCTCCTTCCCTCAGTGGATCCAGGCCCAGCCATTGCACATCTCTTACTCCTATCACCACCTCCAGAACACTTGCCTTCCTTCTTTCCCAGGGGGTGGGCCCTATACAGTCAGATCTCTTGGGAAAAGTTCTGGAGTTTGCAGAGGCCAGAGGAAGGAGGGACCCTCAGGGAGGCCAAGCCCACCCTCTCCTAGGATGTCAGCTCCCAGGTCTAGCAGGCTACCATTTGCTCTTCATTCCTTCCTGCTAGGACCTTGGCTATCAAAGAAATCATAGCCTTTTGGCCAAATGACAAAGGGAAACATTTCTGGTGTGAGTGAATTTACTGGTGTGCATGCACACATGTGTGTAAGTGTGTGCCCGTGTTTACATTGTGGAACAGCAATTGTGCATGTAGAATTCTTGCCCTCAAGCTGGGACAATGGAAAGTCATGATCTGCTTTGGGCATAATCAGCAGAGGCCTTAAAATAAATCTCCTGGGACGAGTGGGTGTGTATTCTTGGGAACTGGCTTGCATTCTTCCATAACTGGGCTAGAATATGGAGACAAATGGAGCAT